TGAATTCTTCTTCTTCTGCCTTTCTATCCCCCAATGGAGCATAGGCCCTCAACCAACTCACGCCAAGTCGTTCTTTCCTTCGCTATTTCATGGAACTCTCCCCATGTCCTCCCTATCTTTCTAACTTCAATCTCCAGCTCTCTTCTCCATGTGTTTTTAGCCTTTATTTATTCCTATGCCGCTGTGGGTTCCAATGCAAAGACATTCTAGTTATGCTGTTCTCTGGTTATCTCAATGTGTGACTGAATGTTAAATCCCTGCTTTGAGGTCAGCTGATTACAGAAATTAGAAACAGACATTTGGTCCCCTATCCGATGTTGGTTGTTGACCAGTAACGGTCTTGGCTCTACCCACTCTACCCACTGTTTACTTTTTGTTAACTTGAAAAAAAAAAAAAAAAACACTGTTAATTTTAGGCGCATTAACAATGTCAGGCTTGGCGATTGAAAAAAAAAAAAAAAAAGTAAAGTCGCGAGATGTGAACCAGGGTCACTGCACACGGTTATAAATCCTAAGTGCTCTGCCACCAGTACGGACCACTGATAAGAAGAAACTGTCCGCCTGTGTCGCCGTCTGGACTGAGGGAGTCCGAGTATAAAAAGAAGACAAGCGGATACACTCCAACCGGATCACACACTAACAAATGACGATTAGACCCGCTTTAACTCTTTGAGTCCCAGGGGGTTTAGCATCACAGACTCAGAGGGTAGTAAAAAGAGTAATAAAATCGGCGCATCTTGCGTTCATTGGGCTTCTAGGTAGGAACCTATGAACGTATGATGCGTTCCTTTGGACTCAAAGAGTTAAGGCTCCACACAACATTTCACACACATATCAACGACATGACTAACCCGTTCTTATTGCAGGAAGACAAATATAAGACCACTATGGTCACAAGCAAATATTTTCACATTTCGGAACTGTCTAAAATCAAAAACTCTTTTTAGTACTTTTTGGCAAAATAAAATACTCAAAATTTTAAAACTGTAAATGGTGGTCCAAAGGACGTTGTGTGGAAAAGCGCGCTCCCCTACGAAATACGCCTGGCTAAATCAAAGGGAGACAAAACAAACTGGAAACACCAGATAAGACGAGGGAAGACATGCACAAGTAACAACAGGGTATAGAACGAGCGGTCTGAATCGGATGGAAGCATTAAGCCCAGAAATGGCGCCAACACTCGAATTTAGTCACAAAAGTGACGCAATTAACCCAGACCACAAACATAGGCGGAGACTGTTAGCAGCCTCGGCTAGCTAGCAGCAGTCTGAAAGTGGTCGACCTTTTCATTTTTTTCTCAAAAGGACTTGGACTTGGACATACATTCCGGCAGTTGAAACTTCACCTGGGCGTCGCAGGCTACAACAGGCTCTAGATAAGAAGAGATGAGATTTGGTGACTATGATATTTCCCCTTTCAGGTGAATATATTACACATTTTTAGGCGGACAAAGGCGCTGCGAACGCGCTTTAATTCCAAGGCTGTCGGCCTCAATCTTAGCTGCAGGTGATTTGGCAACAGACCGCTTTACACTGATCATACTCCTTTATTCACGTTGACGATGTGCCTACCGTCGCTAATTTCTGAGGCTTCTTTCTACTAGTAAAGCAGATACCCGCAAGTAAGAAGACAGTTTAAAGAGACAGAGATAGATTCAGATAGAGATAGAGAGAGAGACAGAGATAGAGAAAGACAGAGATAAAGAGACAGAGATAGATAGTGAGATCGAGAGAGAAATAGAAAGAGAGACTGAAAGCAAAAGAGGCAGGTAGAGAGAGATAAGGATAGGAAAAGACAGAGATAGATTCAGATAGGGATAGAGAGAGAGACAGAGATAGATATAGAGAGAGACAGAGATAGAGAGAGACAGAGATAGAGAGAGACAGAGATAGAGAGAGACAGAGATAGAGAGAAACAGAGATAGAGAAAGACAGAGATAGAGAGAGACAGAGATAGAGAGAGACAGAGATAGAGAGAGACAGAGCTAGAGAGAGACAGAGATAGAGAGAGACAGAGCTAGAGAGAGACAGAGATAGAGAGAGACAGAGCTAGAGAGAGACAGAGATAGAGAGAGACAGAGATATAGAGAGATAGAGATAGAGGAAGAGTGAACGAAATTCTAAACGGAATACAGTAGTGTGAGCCTACTGTGGTGCAGACATGTTTTACAGAAAAATTATCTATCTTAGACGCTAATTGTACGGTTCGGGGGGGGGGGGGGGGGGGGGTGAAGGTTGGGGGTTGGGTATAAGGTGGGAAAGATAAGCAGAATAACATGTTGTGTGGAACAAAAGTTGGATTCACAAGACATCGCGTGCCACAATTAATATAGACACACAGAATATATGAGCAGACAGATGTGTCTCATGTTTTTATATACAATGAGAATGTTTGCCAGAGAGATGGAGTGCTTGATCAGAGGTTGATACAATCTTCAGCAGTTATCGAAAATGAGAATTACGAGAAGTCGAGAGAAGTATCAGCTCAACTCTGACTTCTGAAATTGGGTTCAAAGCACTTATGTGAATGCCTTAAGCTCTCTGGTGTCTGTCCTTAACTCATTCCGTTCTAGGCAGAGCACCATATATCGCCAGCCATTAATGTATTGTCTCCATAGATGCATAGTGTGTTATTGTCAGGCTTACATTAAGTCTGGGCGCACTACAGAAACTTGGCCTGATAATGTAACATACAGCACTGTAAATGCTGCCTCTGGCAGCCTGTCTGACTTTATATCTGGAAATAAAAAGTTACAATAAGTAAACGACGGTTATTATGGATTTTTTATTTTTTGATCAGGTACGGGCAAAACGATATATATTTTACGTAAGTAAAAAAAAAAATGGTGGGATATGAAGCTAGGTTTATATAAATTATCAGGGGCGGCAGTGACGGAAGGCGGATAGGGCTGGGGTTCCTTTAGGGGTTATATAATAGAAACATATGGGGTGGCTTGGTAGCAGGGGGATATATATGTTCTGTATGTACAAACGGTATAAAACGGCTGCCTTTGTAAAGCAAGGAAAACAATTCAAGTATCAAGGCGCATAATATCATCCAGTGGAAGAATGGAAGCCGAGATAGATCATAGATTTGATAAAACAAATCAAATTCTTGGACCCTTGTGTTAGCAGTGCAAAATATGGACATTACCAACAAAAGAAACAAGAAAAAATCGAAACAACACAAATGAAATCTCTATGGCGAAACTTAAATGTAACTACAAGAGGCGGCATTAGAAATGGCGATGTCAGGAAAAAGCGACGAAACCAGATTTAAACTACATCAAGAAAGAACAATTGAAATGGGTTGGACATGTGTCAATACCACGACCAAACAGTGCCTCATTGAGAGACCTGTCACTTAGACATAACAAAAGCAGTTTCAGAGGTCGACCACGCAAGCGATGGATAGATGAAATATCCGAGGCTCTAAATATCAGCATCTACGCTAGGCCGTCTTAACGCTTGGCCCGCTGGACACTTGCCCGGGGTTCCCTCTAGCACAGGGTACGCATGCTAATCTGTGCATGTCAAGTGACTTGCCATAACTTCAAATATATTTAGCTTTCAAACCAATTATATGGAATAAAGACCATTTGAATTTCATTCATGTGAGTGGTTGTCGTAGGGGCCCCAGCACACTGGTTTGCCCAGGGGTCTATAATGGTGTTAAGACTACCCAGCATCTACATAGCAGATAACAAGGCTCTCATCCGATGTATTTTCAAAATCTGTCTATGAAAGCAAAATTTTGCAACTTACAGAATATTCTCTTTCTTTGTGAGCAAGAATGCCATAGGTTTCTGTGGCCTAATTATCTGGCACTGCGAGAAGAATTAACCCCAGTCGTTTTCATCTTTTATTCGTATTAGGTTCCATGTAGAACTTCGATCTTATCACAGGACGAATGGATGCTACTCCTTCCCCAGCTAACGTTTATCTTTAGTGAACTTTTATGCTCAGGGTAGTTTTGATCTATGATGATCTTGGGGGAGTGTCTCCTGCGTCTTCTACTATAAACCATACCCTCAGTAACTGTTCTTTTTAAATCATTATCTTTTACGACATTTGATATTCACTATATATTTCAGTTTACGAAAAATAACACTGTTTAAAAGGCCCCCCTCCCCTCCCCTTATATTTTTCCAAGCAACTTTCCTACAAGAAGATCTTAAAGAATGTCAATATGTTTCTCTTCTTGCTTCAGGATAAGTTAACAAACGTCACGAAATATCTAAGTTCAAAAGGCTGATTCTCTGTTGATTGTGAAACAATCAATCACTTACTTAAGTAAGTTTTAACTGATCTAATATGAGCAGATATGTAATGGCTGTGACTTAATGTGATGGTAAGACGGACTATTAGCAAGGTCGAATGCAACAGACAATTTTCAAATTATAAAGTGTCCTTTGGCTTAATGTTCAACTTCATGTCTGACAGAAGTTGTTGAAACGTAATTCTATTCATTTGTGTTGCACACAGAAAACACGAGATGAAACACAAATACACACGCAGTTTCAGATAGTAGCCTGCAACACCTAAAGAAACAAAGCTTATTAATACGTTGGCCTCCCCATTTACACACCGGTACACACTAGCTCGCCTCTGATTGGTCGACCTCCAGCTTACCTCACCTCTGATAGGTCGGCATCGATCGATCCGACTTTCGCACAAGGGGCTATTCCGCACTGGCGCTAATATTGCGTGTTGTATATTTCACCTTGCCAGCGTTTTAAACATGACAAAAAAACATTTAGATACTGGGTCTAACACATAACCTCATAGAGAGTGACGAAACCTATGTCACAGGCTGTCTCTTTTTTTGGAATAAAAACGTAAATGCCAGACAACAACAGACCACGACACCCATAATCTCGACCACAGTAGACTAGTCAAACAAAATTATCAATAGAGTTTACCTATATTCGGTGGGGAGACTAACGTATTAAGAACCGAAACATATAGAGACATTTTGTTATGGACAACTTTCGGTCTTACCTTCCGCTTCCCTTTCAACTGCTGAAGATCTCTTCCCTCGTGGGCGTTCCCTGGGGTGGTACGCTTCCATAGAAGTATAGACACGATGGAGTAGGTTACTGCCAGAATCACCAAGGGGATCACGTAGGTTATAAACAGAACAAACATTGTAAAAGTTCGACGCTCCTCTTGGGACGTCCATTGTTCATTGCAGTGTACAGTATTGTTGTCGCTTTTAGCCCGACTAATCACCAGCTGGACGGCGGACAGACTTGTGGCGCATACCCAGATGATGCAAATGGTGTTTCTGGCTCTTTTGGTTGTCATCCGAGCTCGCAGTGGGAACGTCACCACGAGAAACCGGTCAATGCCGATAGCCATGTTGGTGAACACACTTGCGGACACCGAGAGATGTTGCATGAAGAGAACTATCGGACACATGGGCTTGGAGAAGATCCAGGTGCGGGTCATGACGTAGGTAAAGGTGAAAGGCATACAGAAGATGGCCATAATGAGGTCAGCCACTGCCAGGCTGATCAAAAACGGTCGGATGTCCGTCCGGCTGCGTCCACCTTTAGAAAAAACTATCACAACGAGGATGTTGCCGACCACCGAGAAGAGAATGGTGAGCGTGTACAGAACGATCAGTGTGGTCCTCGTCTCTGTGGTCAGCAACTTATACCCAGATACGGGAGTCGCTGAGATGTTCCAGGTGAAGCTACTCATGGAGATGTTGGGATCTAAGGTGGCCACACTATGGTTCCATGTGGATGTAGCACTGTTCAGGAAGCATGCATCTTGCCGACAGCCTGAGGTTTCCGCTCGAGACTGTTCTGAGTTCATCCTAGAATAACAATTAGGGACATGGGTCGGCGTCTCGGTAGCGAGAAGACATCGATTTGTGGTCACTCGTCACTTCCATGTCAGATCTTTTAGAACGGATACAATATCCATACGATCAGCGAAAAGAACGACGCGTTTTAACGACGGCTGTTTTTGAACCAACAACAACACAGCATACACTCGTCGTACGCCAAAGAAAGTTTGTCTCTCTGACTTTCTCCCTAAACCAAGAGTTACTTTAGTAATTTATTTTATCCTCATTGTTAGTTTAAATACAATGTTTCAACAGTGTTATTTTAACATATCTTTGAAAAATCGTTAATCGTGGGTTAAAATAGTCTTTAACTGCAACTGAAATGTCAGTAAGAACAATAGTTGATGTATGAAACAACTTACCCGCGGTCCCAGACAGTATATCCCATAACTTGGATACTCACTGAAAATCGGTCTATGTCAGGTAGTGAAATCCATGCTCACTAGACGGAAGATGGTTGGGGGGTAATTCATTTCGCCGGGAGCTGTTATCAGATGGATGTCGCAGGTTCAAATATAAGCTTTAAAAAGCTTTCACCTTCTAGTATGCCACTATTGTCTACGTCTTGGTGTGTTTTCTCTGAGTGCCGATCAATATAAATACAAATTATTCTGATGCGATCATATGGCAGCAACATTGTATGTAATCCTGTTACCATACTATCTTTTGTCAAGACAGTGTTCAGTACATGTTTTACAAATCCTGCACAAAGTTGACCTGATATTCGTCCACGTACCCAGTCCTTTTAATTAGATCACGTCATAAAGTATAAATTTTCAAGACGACCTGGAGAATAAATGGCTAACTGTGCCACTTCCTGTGTCACTGATTCGTTGATGAATGCGCTGGTCTGGCAAGGCAGCAGGAAATATCCCTTCTGGGTGACGGATTATGTCTGAACCGTGTTGCTTGTGTCTAAAACTACCAAGGTTATCCTCACCTGTCCAGTTGACACTGTTGGCTGCTGACTGGCATGGTCGGTTTTTTTCTGGAGAACAACGTGTAAAATACTCTGACCAGGAGTCAGTAAATGTTCAGTGTAACTTTCCCAGAAACTTTAAATCTCGATGTTTTCACTGCCGCTTTTACAGGAAATATAAATCTCTATGTTTCAGTGTCCTTCTTCCATGAAATATAAATCGTTATATTTCAGTGTAATTCTTCCTAAAGATTGCAATCTATGTTTCACGGTTCTTCTTCCTGAAAATAAAGCAGACAAGAAGATTAGGTTACAACTTAGTGGACCGATTATGCTGATAAATGGCAGGAATATATTGTTAGAATGAGAGGTGCCGGCACTCACCACAAAGTGTCTAAAAAGGTGCTAGCACTCCCAACAAAGTATCCAATACATTAAGTAGGTAACGATCCCTTTTCACACCTTAAGGCGCATCAGGCATATGGTAAGAGCACCCATATTTTTACTGATCAATCGGTACTAGGTGGGAAGTGTTGTCAGCATTAAGCCGGCCGTCTTTACTCCCACAGGATACACATCCTGGTAACCATTTAAGGCTGGATGGACCTGCGATGCCCCATACTAAGATAAAAATCCACGCAGCCAGTAGTTGGTTTTGATCGCGATATTTTGGAATTACGTGTCTAAGTCACGGACGAGTAATCTAATACAGTAGCCATGAAAATTAGAGAAAACAGCGATGACTTAAAAGAGATGCATGTACTGCGTACTTTCAGAAAAATATCCGATATACGGGTAGGAATACAGCAAGTCTGTATTCTTTCTCTCTGTCTCTCTCTGTCTCTGTCTGTCTCTCTCTCTCTCTCTCTCTCTGTCTCTCTCTCTCTCTCTCTCTCTCTCTCTCTGTGTGTATTCACTGACTGTAAACCACGGAGGAAAGTTATGACTGTTCGTCCACTTGTAGACTTTGATCCTGCTCCAGAACTTAAGTGACGCGTGCATATCCGTTATACAGATCTAGCTTATTAGTATGCAGACTGTTGTTTCCTCGTCCTTTGGGAAGACGCACTCTGACTTCAAGGGAAACCCTTCATTATTTTACTTTTACGACATGCTTGATAGGTAGACAGTGAGCCTGTTCTGGTTTTCACCACAACGGGACCCCGAAACCCATACGTATGTAGGTCATTATTAATAGCGAAAATGCCTGCCCACACAAACGTCTTAGATTCGAATGTGTAATACCGGAGTGCGCAGCACGTGTGGGAGGCTCAATAACGAGTGAGGCAGAGCCGTCATGTGCAGGAAGTGACGATTCCTTGGGCGAGCCAACGACTAGAGTGTCATTTGTCGGTTCTGCATTTATGAAAGCCTCCCTGGAAGGCTGGGAGTCCCCATGATCTGCCTGCAGCCTTCCCATGAGGGCCAACCAGTCAACAGGCGCATACCCTGCACGGGCTCTATGGGCAACACTTGTAAATAAGGGGACAAAGAAATCACCATAAAAATAAAAACACACCATGTCTCTCGAAACTAAGAGGGACGCTAACGCTGTCAACATACGCTAAATGAAGTCTGATGATTCGGTCGAAAGGCGCAAATATCGCAGCTCTGCTGTAAACAAGCACAGGAATTTACATCACTCGGACGAATTAAAAAAAAAAAGAAGAAGAATGTGCAACCAGATTGATTTTTATTATCAACTTATGGCTCAAAGAAGGATCTAATCTAAATTAGCTATTCAGTCGATTAGTTGATCGAAGTTCCAATTTTACTTTGGACGGGTCGCCCCATATGTACTCCCTTCCAGTACCATTGGAAATCACACAAAATGTATATCACGGTATCATTTTAAAACATGTGAACAAGTGTTAGTCACGCAAAAAAACAAAACAAAAATACTCGAACGCGGTTATCAGATATACCAACAATGCCAGTCCCACGCCGGAATGCGGCTTACTGCTGGCACAAACAAGCAATTACGAAAGCCGGCATTGCAACCGCAAAAGTACAAGCCATTCCTAACGTAATCGACCACCCGCCATTTTAGTGTCGTCAAAAACATGCAAAAGGAGAAAAAATAAATTGACATGAAATCCAGATTTCAGAGTGACGCACCAAGCACAAAATTTATTGACAAGGAGACACAATCTTTGGACTTCCGGTCATAAAAAAAGGAATTAGTATAAGCAAAAACTAACTGAAAACAAATAACTTTTCAGTCGGTCAGCTGCTATAAGCCATTTTTCCTCTGCTCCTGCTTCC